GCTGAGCTAAGGGTATTTTATTGCAAGTTACCATGACGACTGTTTGGCCTGCTGGATATAGAGGCTTGTACAGCAATTCCAGGAAATAGGGTTACTTCCTCACTCAGCGCGAACAACTTCCTGCCCTCTGCTGTATGGATGTGTGCCAGGGCTCAGGGACACCCATTCGTGTGCAGTCTTTGTCTGTAGTTTCGTAATTACTTCCCCATCTCAATCCTCAGCTATTAGCTCAAAGCCCGTCTATCTCTCTCCCTCCCTCTCTCTACCTCTTCGGCTGACTTTTTTTCTTCTCATGACATGGTTGGATCCCTCTGGGGACCAGCTGTGGTGTCTGTGACAAAGCAGTGGCGAGTGCTGAGGGAGGAACCAGCGTAATGCCAGCTGAGCACAACACCCCGGCTCCCCCTTTCATTTTTTTTTCGGTCTACAACATTAAGGGCTGTGATTTCTGCCCTCTATTTACTTAGGCTTTATTCACATGGCACAGGGTTTTTTAGTTTTTACAGATTCTCACTGAAAAATTAAAAAAAGAGGAGTATGGTTTAAACTTATTTTTACATGGAATTTAAGTCACCATGCATCCAAGAGTAGTTGTGGTTGCTGCCAGAGCAAGTCCACTTGCACTGGGGACAGCTTAGTATATTCTTCTAGTAATGGAAAGGGAAAAGTTAAATGGAGAGAAAAACAAAGGAGCTGATTATGCACAAGAGTTGTTTGAAAGACTGGACAGCCATCCTAACAGCTTTGTGTGGCTGTACTTAGAAACAATCTATCATTGCCATTCATAGAGCCTAGAGCCACTTGCATGGTTAAAAACATCTAAACTACAGAAGGCCTGTTTTTTATTATGGATTTTGTCATTTTCACATGTTTAATATTCAAAACAAAAGAAACACCGGTACAACCTGTTTAGGGATGGGGATTGAAAAGATTTTATGGATACCAATACCATTATTGATTCTGCTTATTGGCTCGATTCTTTGTCAGTTCCCTTATTGATTCCTGATCAATTTTCTACACAGGTTTTCAGCATCAACACAACTGTTTTAATATCTATGAACACAGAGTAGAAAAAGAGTAGCGTTATAGTAGTTTGAGTTTCTTTATTATTCAGGCCATGCTTTGGACATTTTTTGCATTGAAAATGTCAGAAAAACATGCTGGCATTGATAAAAGGAATTGATAAGTTTGGTGGCATGCGAGTCCAATGGATCACACTATTTGGAAACAGTTCTCAAGTGGTGCCGGTTCTGAATTGCCATCCCTGATCCTGTTGGAGCTTCCAGGTTTCCACACTGCAAGACACTCTGTGGGTACATTTAATGCATTTAGAGGAGGCAGTCTGCTTTAAAACTAACTGGTGTCATCCTCAGTTACTGTGATGCAAGCCATCTATGTCACAAACAATGAAGGGCTTGCCACTTCTCAATACTCTAAATACACTGGAAACTAGAACGTCTATGATGATGATGATATTGTGCTTTCATGACATTTCATTACTGCTTCCCACCTTTCTCTCATTCTTGAATTAAGAAATCTGATCCATGTGTTGCCTGTGGTGATACTGTGTGAGTGGGCTGACATGCAACAAGAAAACTCCACCTGGAATCAAACTGGTGACTTTCTGCTGTTTTCAGCCCTATTTTAGGACCTTCTGGTGGAATGATAATTAAAGTTTAAAATGGGGCGGCACAATTAACAAAATATTATTGAAATCGTAATATGGCCAAGTCCAAATAGCATCTGCAATGTTTTTGATAAATGCTTTATAATGAACTACTGTAGTGCTGCAGATACACTCTTTGCAGATGTGAGAAAACCATATTACCATATTGTGCAGCCCTAGTCTAAAGCTGAAATAAAATTGCATTTTGCTATAGAATACATGGATATATGCACATATCTGCTCTGTAAACCACTTGTATTTTATTTTTTTTTGGTTTCATGATTGTGCCCCTTTAGTTTTAGTTAGGTATCTGTCTACGTAGATGGTTACCTTATTTTGATACAGCCAATCAAATCAAGTAGTAGCCAATCATAAAGTAGTAACTTGTTTTAAGTTTTTAAGTCTCATTATCTAACTTACAAACATGAACACATATCGTGTCCTGCACCTGAGCTGGTTGAAAAGTGCACTGCTAATGTTGGTTTGCAGGCCAGATAGCTAATAACATTATAGTTTTGTATACATTTTTATGTATCCTTTGTTCTTATCTGAGAGGCATTTTGTTACTATGTTTGAAAAGTGCTGTACAAATTAAGTTACTTAGTTTATCATTTACAATGACGTCATTGAAGAAGGCAAGCACTTTGAGTTATGTGTATAGATTCTCTGTTTTCACTGTACAATGGCATCTTTACAGATACAGCTTCCCTCAGTATGGATCACACACAGCTCTCCTCCCAGTCTCTCCAGACTTCAGAAACTTTTGTTCTCCCTTTAAACTCCTCTTCCCCACCATAACCACTGTGGGTTTTTGATCAGGAATGGTCTAGATAATAGCAATAATTTGGTCAGGTAACTTTGTGTTTCTTCTTAGTGAACACCATCTGACTGTAGTTTCACTGTTGACTTTGTCGATTGGGCCTTATCAAAGCTCTCATTCCTGGGAAATGTTCCTGTCCATGGTTCATTGATAGTGAAGTGTGAGAAAAGCCAGGTAGAGATGGTTCAATGCTGGATCACTATAGACCATGGTCAATCATTTGAGTGTGTGTGAAAATTTTGTTTGTTTTACTTTAGAGAGACAGATTGCTGAAACCGTTTCCAAACTTTCAGTCGGGGAAATGGTGACCTGTATATCATGGGGTAATTTGGGGTTTGTGTGTGTGTGTGTGTGTGTGTGTGTGTGTGTGTGTGTGTGTGTGTGTGTGTGTGTGTGTGTGTGTTAAAATGGCGTAATAGGAGGCAAGCTGTCCCAAATCTGGTAAGATCATTGCGTCTGGCATTACGACAGCATGCATGGGAAGCTCGTCAAACCAATCGAAGGAAGAGTGTCTCATCTCTCTTGTGTCCATTCTTTCTCTCCCTCTGACATCGGTCTTCTTGGCCCTCCCCCCTCCGCATTACTCTTTTTTTGTTTTTGCTGATTTTGCAATTGTTGCTGGTAGATGACTGGTATCCTGCCATGCCCTATGGTGTGTTGCCTAGATTTACTGTACTGTCAAACTCTATGTCCTTTTTATGGTTTATTCGGAAGAATAATAGACATGATTTCGTGTTAAATTTAGACTTAATCTTGATCAGAACCAAAAGTGAAAGTTTCCCTGTCACAGGTCTAACCACATATACGTGGATTTTCTGCTGTCTGCTCTGTGTCACTATGTATGCATGATTTTCGTGTGTTGATTCGTCGCAAGTGTACATACCATATGCCTGCTCAGAACAGAAATAGTCCCAAAATAGAACAGTATTTTCTGTGGTCTCTTGAACTGCAGCAGTAGTCTGATATCAACACATACTTTATTTCAGTCGATGTCTGTGCAGTTGTGCACATGGAGGCATGCTTGTGTGCGTGCTTGTTGGGATTATGAATTTCACAGTGGTTTATGTATGGTATCCCCATGTCTAATGGACTATGTCTGTCAGCCTGGCTCTAAGGCATTAGTCCGCCCCCGCTCTGACCACTACGACTACTTCAGGAACCGTACAACTATCTGTGTTCAACTTTTAATACTGTAAAATAATATCAAGCAGGGTTAATAATAGTGAGAATTGTCTTCATGAGGACTTCTAGACTTGAGTGACACTGTGATTAATGTAGGCACAGGAAGTAACACCATTTCTGAGCGCACTTCCTGTAATGCAATGACTGTTTTGTGAAGACATTGTTGGCGTTTCTTTGAAATCAGCTGACCTACCATCAGTTTTGTAAAAAAAAAAGAGCTCTGTAATACAGAGTGAGGATACATCACATTACCGCTTTACACGTGAGACTGTAAATGATAAATATAGTAACATTTGTATAACCAGTGTTGATGATTTATAGCAGTTTTGCTTATTTAATCACTTCAACTTAACAGTGGTATCTTTCATTTGGTCACCATATAACATTGATAAATAAAGACAGAGAACACCACACTATTGTTTGGCATGTTGGGCCGGCGTGCTGTGCGTGAAAACCACTTGAGCCATGTGTCTCTGGCGGTTTGAAGGCCACACAATAGCTGATGTGTCTGGCTGTGAGCATTTCATTGGCGAGGAGATAGTTGGGCTTTGTTGTCTTCGTCAAGGTTCATTTTTGTCTGCCTGCCCATCCGGCTGCCCTGTGACCACTGGCTGGTTTCAGGCTGGCTTTTCATGGTAGTGCTACGTAGCTTGTGAGTCTCTGCATTATCTCTGTAAGGATGAGGAGAAGGAGGAGAAACTCGCATACTACGTGGTGGGTTTCCCTCTGAGGGGTGGGCAATGTGTTTGTCACCTCCGCCAAACACTTGTCTGGGGGAAACCCTGAATGAGTTTTGAGTAGTGTTACCTTTGAAATTCAGTAGCAATGAAGCACTGCAAGCAAGACTAGGGGCCTGTCCTCACGAATAAGTTTTTCTCATATCCGGATAAATAGTTAATCGTATTGGCCTCGCGTCCAGACGGATACGGCATTTTCGGGGTGTAAAAATGGTATTTTTTGGAAATGGGTCCCAGAGTGGGAAAATCCGAAAACGCTGGATTGCCTGGAGTTGTCTGGACGGCGAAAACGGATTAGCCCCGCCTCTCTAGCCTTTAACCTCAGCTGCCGCCGCTAGACGCATCATAACAACAACAACAACGGCGGACTACTACTACTTGTTTGTAAACAGCGCATGCTCCATGGCTTCTCTTCCGGTTTTAGTGTATCAGTGTGGCGGCGTACAGTGGTACAGTGAATGGTTTAATTAGCTTAGATAGTAATACTGTTGACAAATGTGCTTAAGTGCTCAAACTTAAAATATTGCAAATATTTTAACTGAATCAGATGAAGTGCCTCTCTGACTGTCTGTAATTCTTCTCTTGTCTCATGCAGCTCTGCAGTGTGTGGATGATAAGGCGCCTTGTGTTAACAACGCTACGTGTCTGACCTTCAACAATGGCACTGGATACTGCAGGTAAGATTGACTGGCTGGTCTGTGACCAAACACACAGAGGCCTTTTCAGTTTAAGTCATGCTGTCACCACAACACTACTAACAAAAATGTGAACACAGCAACTGAAACACCTCATAGGGGGATTGTTGAATGTGAAAACCAGTACAGAAATAGGGTTTTTAGATCAGCCACAGCCTGTCCACGGGACCATGAGGTTTTGCTCAAGCACGGAAGAGGGAATAAAAGACTTCTCTGTCTGACAAAGTACACCAGTACTGGGAACAATACCAATACACACATTGCTACCTCCAAGATGTTATTTAGGACATTTTGGGGGTTTTGTTACTCCTTCTTCTGCTGTTTATAGAATTGATAGCTCTAGGACTTGCCAGCATATTTTACCTCTAATTTGTTGTTGCTGGGATGTCAAGACAATGATGAGACATTTTTATTACATGAGAAAGTAACCTATTCAGTGTAATTGATGGGGGAAAAAATCTGAAAGTTGGTTGAATGAATCAAAATGGCAAGTAGGCTAATGAGTCTTACCACACATGTTAATGTAGCCTTTTGTTTCTGGGTGCATGCCATGGTGGAAACTTGCAAGTGAGTCTCTTCTACTACCGGTGGTGCAATCAGACCATTGAGGAAAAGTGCTGTAGTGTACAGGAGAGCAGTGGCCTGTTTGATCTATGGCTTCCACTTTCTGACAGCTTAGCCTGGTTTGTAATTAAGAGTGAGCTATCTTTATAATTGCCTTGCCACTCCCGAGCCAAATTCCCTACTAAAAAACACCATAGCTGGTTCATGAACCTGATCATATTTCACCAAATGTGGTGTGAATCACCCAATGCGTCTGTTCCCAGAGCTTTTGGAATTTCAACACTCTGCTACTTCTGTAAAAAAAGGAGAAAGCAACAATCCTTAATCAGTGTTTGACATTCCCGCTGTTTAATTAAAGGTCAGAGAGAGATTGTACTGCAGGTGTAAAGGGGCTCATTTGGGAGTTTCTGTGTGTAGTACGCAGGAGCAGTGTTCTTTTATTCAGAGGCAACTGGATCACTTGTGTCACTATAGACATCATAAGTCTATTCTTAACCATGCAGACAACCAATGAAGTGACGTCAGGATAGATGTGAGCTTTTCAAGGACAGCTCATGATAGGCAGGTTTTAATTATGGAAGTGTTTTTCAGGTAGAGAGAACATTGGAATTTCTTGGTTAGATGATTTTCAAACACCAAGCCCAGATTTAAAAACACACCCAAATTCAGAGCAGTGTTCTATAAACGGGCAGACAGGCACACAGTACCAGTAGAACAGGGCTTTATGCCGGTACATACTGGCATATATCTCTGAAACAACATTCATATAATTTGCAGCTGTTTAAGACCTGACCACATCCCCTGAGGTTTTGTTTTTATGTTGTTATTATTTCCTTTACTGCCATTTATTTGCTAATTTTGTGTTTTTTGTACGAGGAAACTAGTAATTTTTCATTTTTGAGAAGACTATTATTTCTCGGGTTTTAGTCACTTTTGCTCAGCCAAGCTGTCTCCATTCATAACTATTATGTCAGTATTTTTTTTTCTCAGAATGAAATGATGGAGATGATAAAAGAAACGAACAGCAGAGAGGCCTCTTTCCCTGAAGACACACAGAGAGGAGTCTCTCAGTTTAGAAGAGTCAGCTGACAGAGCGCAGGCCTACTGTTAGACTGATTAAATAGTTGGTTGAATTTTTTTTCTGCTGTCCTCAAGCAAACATGAGCAACTACACACGCACTCTTTAACACACACAAGTAGACACACTTGCCTCTGTCTGGCCTGTCTGGTCCTGTCTGCACTGTGCTGATGGTCAAAAGGCTCATTGTGTAAAAATCAAATTATCTGTTTATTAGTCTCCTCAGTGTATTAAAGGCAGCCGGTTGTAAGTAAACAGTCACTTTGGCCGTTTGGCTCGGACCAGACTAATTATGTCCCATGGATCACGCACAGGTCAGACTGGGTGCAACTGTTTAATTAAACAGGCAATTAATATGACAGGTTTATATCAGTAAGGGCTACCACTGATGGACAGTTACGTCTGTTTACCAAACAGTTATGCAATAACAGGAAAATAATGTCCTTGCATTTTTACAGGCGAATGCAGTTTTATTTTTGTTTCATGTCCATAATGAAAAAGATCCACTGTGGAGGTGAGGTCCTGTTTTGATTGGCAACAGATTTAGATCCTGTGCATGTTGTCATTTGTCCGCCTGCCTCCGGTGCAGAGTTCCCATACATGTTGGAAACTCTGGAAAACATAGAACCACTCTAGTCATATGTATTGGGCCTGGTTTACATATTTTAATTATTTAGAGACTTTTTTTCCATTTAAGAGAAGGAGAAGAGAAAAGGGAAACTTTTAATAGGTTTGTGCTTAGATTATGTATGCCTGCATAGAAAGTTTGGATGTCTCGTGTTGGACATGGAAAATGTTGTGAAAGAGAATTAAAGCGCGTGGGAGAGGTCGACTAGCAGGGCAGGGTGCAGAGAAGCTGTCTAACCGGTGACACTACAAGCCACCAGCCCTGGGTGTGAGAAAAAGGTGTGTGTGTGTGTTGCGAGTATGTCTCTGTGTGCATTTGTGTATGTCTCAAATATGTTTGGTCGGTGTTTGTAACTTACATCATGGCTGAAGGGATACATAAACATTACCCGATGAGGTATTTGGATAAGAGCACAGAAACAATGGTCTTGTTTGTAGGCCACTGAGGCTTCCTGACACTAACATGGAGTCTGCCTCAGAGTTAATACCTGAGCAGTCTAAGCAAGAGTGAGGCTACACACATTATGTTGTCCAAACCCTATTTTCCTCCAGAAAAAGATCTCTTTTTTTTTTCATGGTGCAAACTGATTAACTCTCCCTCCCTTACAATGCCTCTTTTCTTTTCTCTCACTCTCTTTTTCTCTTGCAGTCACTGTCATGCCTTTTCTATTTACTTAAAAAAGGTTTTCTTAAGAATGAGGGGACAGAGTTACTGTGTTGTGTAGACCTGCTGCATGTTTGATCTGACAAGTAGAATTTGCCTGTGGGGCAGACAGAGGAAGAGAAAAGGCCAAAAGAAAGAGGATGTCTTTTTTTCAGGTAATTTGAGAAGGAATACCTCGGAGCACAACTCCTTACTAATGATGAGAGAGCAGCAAAGGGGGGGGAAGCGGAGCAGAGAGAGGAGTGTAATTTCCCTCTTGCTATGCCTCCTTCATCAAACTGTCACTCATCCATCCATGCCTCCGTCCCTCCCTCTGCTTCAGGGGTTTAGATGCCTCTGGACACAACTCAACAAGCCTCTTAATCCTTCTCCCACAACCCCATTATTGTTGAGATCTTTCCCCTTTTGCCTTTATTATAGCCATACCCACTTCCACTCATATCTGTGTGTTCCTGTCTTATCAGCCACTTTGGGTCACCTGGTTACCTCACAGGAAGCTCTGCTGTGCTTTCACGTCCACATTTCCTCTCTGTCTCGTGCCTTTAGGTGAAGAAAAAAAGAGAAAGATGGGAGAAAAAAATTGTTTAGATAATTCGCTCCTCCTCTCGGTTCCACACCTCAACTCCTCCACAGGAGACACCCACTCTCTCAGGCACACATACTCACATAAATGTTAACTGGGTTAGACATATGATCCAAACTAAAGTCAACAAACCCTGGAGTAAGAGATTGGAACCATGGCAGTGATTTCCCACTCTTACTCTCCAAAGACTTATCTGCTTCCCACAGCTAACAGCGCTGTAGATGTGGTTGAGACTAGAACCACAATGATAAGAGTTTCTTTGTATATGTTTCTTGTATGTGCTCGATCTGCATATGTGTCACTGGAGAGCCAGCGGTACCTTGAGCCTTGGGCAAGTTCACATGCAGGGGGTGGCTGTGGTGCAGAGGCAGAGCGGGTCGTCCCCTAATCGGAAGGTTGTCGGTTCAATCCCCGGCTCCTGGTGCCACATGTCGAAGTATCCTTGAGCAAGATACTGAACCCTGAATTGAATGTGTATAAATGCGTTAGTTTCTGTTCGATGGGCTTTGCCATGAGTGAATGTGTGTGTGTTAGGTCAGTATTTTTATAGTGGAGTTCTGTGTGTCTCATGAGTGCGTGTTCAAGAGCCCAAATGATGAAACAACTGTTCATTAGTGCAAATAAAGGCTGCAACTAAGCATTATTTGTATTTTCAATTAATCAACAAAATGTTTGGATTAATCAGTTGTTTTAAGTTGTGAAAAATGGTGATCACAATTTCCCAGAGGCCCAAGTTGACGTCTTCAGATTGCTTGTTGTGCTCGACCAACACCCAGAAACCCAAAGACATTCAGTTTGCAATTAACAAATCCACACATTCGAGAAGCTGTAACCAGCAAATGTCTTCCATTTTTTGCTCAATAAATTACCTAAAAGATTAGTAAAAAAAATTCTGTCGGTTGACTGATCCCTTTCAGCACTACCGCCAACTAACTAGATTGGGTGTGGTTAAAGGTTGCAGGGATTTGGCTCTTTTTGAGGTTCACCATGATAAAAGACACAGACACAAAAACAAACAAAGGGAAAAACACACAAACACACAGATGCACACAAGGCTGCATGGGGATCTGGAGATTCAAACCCGCTCTCAGAAAGAGGAAGCCTTACAAAACAGTGGGGAATGTAGCAACCAGACCATAAACCCACATACAGTAAGATGACAAGTGGCTCTCTGTCACACATTGATGGTGACAGTACGGGGTCAAACGTACCTCAGTTTTGTCATAAGGTCACACATTGACCAGAGTTTAAAAGCATCTTCACCCAACTAAACCTTTAGTTGGGAACTGTTGGGTGTCTGTAAATAATTTTATGAGGAGTGTGGTCTACACCTGCTCTATTTGAAAAGGGTCCTGAGATAACTTCTGTTATGAATTGGCGCTATACAAATAAAATTTCATTTCATTTCATTGAAAAGCTGTCAAAGAAAAGCGAAAATACCTTGTTCTTTAATTTCCCTCTTGGTC